TGCTTCTGCATTGCTAATGCCGCGCGATAAGTTTTCTTCTTCTGTTATTCCGGAGCAGCCTCCACACTCGGCCTAGTCCACCGCTACAGGGAGTTTTACAGTCTGTTAGCGCCACCTTCTGGCCGAATGCCGTACATGAAATATTGGTTAGGAAACGTCTTTATTCGAAATTACTATTTGATATTCGAACGTATGACGAATATTCAACTATTCGTAAATCATGTCTCATCCCAAATATCGATATATCTCCCACCCCTGATGTCAAACAGCTGATGTGGCTCTAGAGTCGTTATGTTTATATGTCGTAAAGTTGAGTTTATTGATGCAGATTAGTGCAGATAGTAATAATAACGATGATCATTTTAATATAAAACGTTAATGATTCATCGATCATTAATTCTCCCGACGATCGACTAAGAACATTTCATCGAATGCCCGTCTCTAATCAACACAAACGTCAACGCGGCGCCACCGAGGTCAGACAGAACTCGGCGGCTCTGCTCTGTGTGGGTAAATACGCACATAAATTATTCTGAAAAATGCTCCGATCTGACAAGAATGTGACAAGTCTGAGTCTCGGTGCCATTTGGCCATCGCCGTGTTCCTTCTTCTCGACACGTTCAATAAAAAAACAGATCTGCAGAGAGAGAGAAAGACCGATGGAGGGAGAGAGGGAGGAGGAGAGGACGAGAGCGTTTGGAGCAGATTACTGATGGACAGTGTCATTGGATTACAGTTACTTTGTTGAAGTAAATGGATTACACAGAGGGATTTTACTGTTTTCACATTTAGGGATAAACCAGGACTAAACCAAATCTAAACCAGGACTAAACCAAATCTAAACCAGGTCTAAACCAAATCTAAACCAGGTCTAAACCAGATCTAAACCAGGTCTAAACCAGGACTAAACCAGGACTAAACCAGAACTAAACCAGGTCTAAACCAGAACTAAACCAGGACTAAACCAAATCTAAACCAGGTCTAAACCAGGATTAAACCAGGACTAAACCAGGACTAAAACCAGGACTAATCCTGGACTAAACCAGGATTAAACTAGGACTAAACCAGGATTAAACCAGGACTAAACCAGGATTAAACCTGGACTAAACCAGGATTAAACCTGGATTGAACCAGGATTAAACCAGGTCTAAACCAGGAGTAAACCAGGAGTAAACCAGGTCTAAACCAGGACTAAACCAGGACTAAACCAGGTCTAAACCAGGATTAAACCAGGTCTAAACCAGGACTAAACCAGGACTAAACCAGGACTAAAACCAGGACTAATCCTGGACTAAACCAGGATTAAACTAGGACTAAACCAGGATTAAACCAGGACTAAACCAGGACTAAACCAGGATTAAACCAGGACTAAACCTAAACCAGGATTAAACCAGGATTAAACCAGGTCTAAACCAGGAGTAAACCAGAGTCTAAACCAGGACTAAACCAGGACTAAACCAGGACTAAACCAGGACTAAAACCAGGACTAAACCAGGATTAAACCAGGACTAAACCAGAACTAAACCAGGTCTAAACCAGGACTAAACCAGGACTAAACCAGGACTAAACCAGGACTTAACTGTGGTTCTAAAAAACATGACAATATCAAGTAATCCAAAGTATTCAGATTACGTTACTCACTTTAAGTAATTTAATGGATTACGTTACAAACTATGTTTTTGGTGTATGTAATCTGTAATCTGTAAGGGATTACATTTTAAGAGTAAACTTCCCAACACTGCTGATGGAGGAGCTGAGTCCACAACCTGCTTTTGATTCATATTTGACATAATAACAACAGAGTTTTTCCACAGACTCGGGTCGTTTCTCTTCTCTGGTTTTGTGGAGTTTTGCCGAAGCCCGAGCGAAAATGACCTCATATCGTTTAGGCAAAAATAATATTCATAACTGCAGAAATAAACTGGGCACAAATGAAAACAGGCGCACACAAAACAAACACAAACCAAACACAAACGACTGCTTTAAGTTTCTGCTGTTTTGAGTCTGTTTCGCATTTTGAGTTCAAAATAAAACTGAGAATATTTTAAGAACCAGAATCACACAAACTGAACTTTTTGCAGCACGAACGACGCACAAACGACTGACTCCGTTTTGTGTCGTTTTAGATTAGATAAGATAATCTCTCGTCGTCTCCCGTGGGACACATTTGTTTTGGGACAGGGGATCAGTAGTCAGGCTGTCTCTCCGTGCAGTTTCATTTCGCCCCGGCTTTAGATCGGGAATCGGAAAACACTAGACGATTCTCAAAAACCCCAAAGTGCGAGTTCGGGCACCGGACAATCAGAGGAGCGACAGACATTCTGCGTTGGCGACGATTCCCGAGATCGAGGATTTAAAGCCGGAACGAAGAGAATGTTTGGTGAATTTGATCTCGGGGAAAGACGTTATTGTCCTTCTTCCTACAGGATTTGGAGCATTACAAACGTCACGACCATTTAACTTTATTATTTATTTATTTATTTAACTTTATTTTTTATTTATTTATTTAACTTTATTATTTAGTTATTTATTTAATTTATTTATTTATTTATTTATTATTTTATTTTTATTTATAACTTATTTATTATTTATTTATTTATTTATTTATTTAACTTTATTTTTTATTTATTTATTTAACTTTATTATTTATTATTTATTTTACTTGATTTATTTATTTAATTTTATTATACTTGATTTATTTATTTAACTTTATTATTTATCTTTATTACTTTATTATTATTATTTATTTTAACTTTATTATTTATCTAACTTTATTATTTACTTATTTTACTTTATTATGTATATATATCTATTTTTTAACTTTATTATTTATTTATTTAACTTTATTATTTATTTATATATTTATTTATCTTTATTATTAATAAATTTATTTATTTATTTATTTTGTTATTTATTTATTATTCTTCTTTTTTTTTTCCTTTCAAATTTGTTTTATTATGTGTCAAACAGTCAAGTGTGCATGTGTGTGTGTGTGTGTGTGTGTGTGTGTGTGTGTGTTGATTTTGTTGTTTTGATGCTTATTTGAATTTGTGTATCCTACCGTCTGTCCTACTGTATCTGTCTTTTGTCGTTGTATTTATGAGGACCTGAGACATCTCAAGGGGCTTATCCTCCAAATGAATAAATTCAAAGTTCAGGCTCCGGCCAATCAGAGAAGAGACAGACATTCTTATGTTGGCGACGATTCCCGAGATCGAGGATTTAAAGCCGGAACAAAGAGAATGTTTGGTGAATTTGATCTCGGGGAAAGACGTTATTGTTCTTCTTCCTACAGGATTTGGAGCTTTACAAACGTCACGACCGAACGGCAGCGATTGGTTCAATAAAAAAAAAGTCCCCGTCTAAAGTCGCGAGAACGAATCCTAACAGTTTCTACGAAGTGAAACCGACTCATGAATCAGACTGGGGGATCACAGCTTTATCACAAAGACAGAACAACACAACCACAAACGCAAACGCACAAACATCCACCACAGAACAGAAATAAAGAAAAAGACCAAATCTGACCACGACCGACAACGACAGGACCTTTAAATCACAGAACATTTTGAAACTTCCCAATTTGACCCATAAAAGAATCGTTAACATCTCCAAAACTAAAGCAGCACAAACGAAGCACAAACGAGCGACATGGTTTTTGTGTACGATTGTGTTTGACGAGGGCGACTTCACACAGGTCACAAGCAGCTCAGAGACGCCAACTCTACAGCCAACCAGAGAGTTTCTTGGACACAGCTGTTAGATTTTTACAAAAGAATATGCCGTTTACACTCCGGTCGTCTTTGCTTTCGTTAATAAATATATTTCAGTCAATTTGTGTAAAAGCCTAGTGACGCTTTACCCCGTGAAAAGCACAAACATTCTAAAAGTGTGTGTGTGACCGTGTGTGTAGAGTCTGAACCATAAGCTCAAACAAACAGATCTGAACAAAGCGTCTTCCTCAGAGTCCAAACACACACACTCACCTGGAGTCCACTACACACAGAGTCCAAACACACACACTCACCTGGAGTCCACTACACAAGCACACAGCGCACAGGCTGCACACACTTGTGGGGACGGGGTCGACTTGGACTAGTGTGTAAAGACACTTGTGGAGACACAGTTTGTTCTTGTACAGCAGGTGGAATAAAGTTTGTTATTATGAAAATGCTCCAACAATTATCAGCATGAAAAATGTGAAAAGTCAAACTGAAGCGACATTTACAGACGAGTTAAACATGAAACAAAACAATGTGACGAGAAACTCAGGAGAAAAGCTCAGGCAAGTGTCTGTGTGTGTGTGTGTGTGTGTGTGTGTGTGTGTGTGTACACTCGTGTGTGTGTGTGTGTGTGTGTGTGTGTGTGTGTGTGTGTGTGTGTGTGTGTGTGTGTGTACCCGTGTATGTGTGTACACTCGTGTGTGTGTGTGTGTGTGTGTGTGTGTCCGTACCTGGAAGTGGCAGAAGGTTCGTTGTCGCTCGTCACATCGGTTGGAGAAACTCCTCAGAGTCCTGAAGAACAACAACAGGTCCTGACTCTCCTCCACCCTGAAACACACAACACACACTGAAACACACAACACACACTGAAACACACAACACACACTGAAACACACAACACACACTGAAACACACAACACACACTGAAACACACAACACACACTGAAACACACAACACACACTGAAACACACAACACACTAAATCTGGTCCGAGTCGGGTCCGGAGCTTTAGAACGAGCCTTAGGGTGTTTTCACACCGACAGTATTTGTTGCACCAAACGGTCCATTCGAACCAAAAGTGGTTAGTTCGGTTCGTTTGCGTTGGTGTGAAAGCGTCGATCGGACTCGGACCCGAACCAAATCAACCGGACCGAGACCTCAAAAAAGAGGTGGTCTCGTTTCGCTTGAATCCACCAAATGACCAACTTTGGTGCGGTTCCTCTGGTGTGAACGCGAACCCGGGTCCAAACCACAGACAGTATGGACAAACTATTCCAAATGCATCATGGGAGAAACGCGTCTCCTTTGCCTGAAGTGACGCTGTACGACTCCAGCGCAGTAACAGTTTGTTGTCCAGACGCAGACGCGATTCATTTTCAAATAATTTTACCAACAATGGCCAATACACAGAATGAAACACACGAAGATCAGAGCAAGAACCAGTGTGCGAACGTGTGGCTCCAGAGTGAGTCA